TCTCTTCTTGTAACTACTACACTTGGGTGAACAATTAGGCAATTATACACATGCACGCGGGGCTTCTGACAGCTGAGTGGACAGCACTTTGGATTCGTAGGCTTGAGGTTCCGGGTTCAATCCCTGGTGGAGGAGGAGACAAGTGTGGAAAAAGTTTTTCACCCTGATGCCCTTGTTTACCTAGCAGTAAATAGGTACCTGGGAGTTAGACAGCTGCTATGGGCTGCTTCCTGGGGGTAATATCCTAAGTGTAGTTACAGGATGAGAGCTACATTCGTGGTGTCCCATCTTCCCAGCACTCATGGTCATATAACGCTTTGAAATTACTGACGGTTTTGGACTCCACCACCTTCTCACCTAACTTGTTCCAACGGTCTACCATTCTGTTTACAAAAGTTAATTTTCTTATATTTCTCTGGCAGCTTTGTTTAGTTAGTTTAAATCTATAACCTCTTGTTCTTGAATTTCCGGGTCTCGGGAATTCTTCCCTATCAATTTTCTCGATTCCTATTACTATTTTGTACATAGTGATCATATCACCTCTTTTTCTTCTATCTTCTAGTTTTTACATATTTAATGCCTCTAACCTCTCCTCAGAGCTCTTGTCCTTCAGTTCTGGGAGCCACTTAGTGGCATGTCTTTGGATCTTTTCCAGTTTGTTGATGTGCTTCTTAAGATATGGGCACCATACAACCACTGCATATTCCAGCTTTGGTCTAACAAAAGTCGTGAACAATTTCTTTAGTATTTCACCATCTATGTATTTAAAAGCAATTCTGAAGTTAGAAAGTGTAGCATAGGCTCCTCGCACAATGTTCCTAATGTGGTTCTCAGGTGACAGTTTTCTATCTAGAACCACCCCTAAATCCTTTTCTTTGTCAGAATTCTTTAAAGATTACACACATAATTTATAGATTGTGTGGGGTCTGTTTTCCTATTCCACATTCCATAACATGGCATTTATTCATATCAAATCTCTGATATGAATAAATGATGTAAAATCTCTGTGGCTCGATCATAAAAACTGAGTAAATTCGTTACACAGGATCTTCCAGATCGAAAACCATACTGTCTGTCTGATATTATATCTTTTTCTCCAGGTGTGCTTCCCATTTAGTTTTATTTATTTTTTCCAATATTTTGACTACAGGTATTACAAAACAAAAAAACAAAAAAGGGTGTGTAACAAAAAAGGAGGCCTGGTCGAGGACCGGGCCCCCGGGACACTAAGCCCCAAAATCATCTCGAGATAACCTCAAGATAACCACACACAGTCAGTCAGTCTGATTCATTACTTCTTGTCACTTTTCTGATCTTTATATCCTAACAGATAAAAAGATGTGCCCACTGATAAGAGGCAATGAATCAGATAAAAGGAGCGTCACTATTGGAGTCCCACAGTGCTCCGTACCAGCACCAGTAATGTTCATTATTTACATAAAGGATCTACTTACAGGGAAACAGTTAGATGATCATGATTGTGGATGATGCTAAGCAACTGGGAAAAATGAAAGTCTAAGACTTTCAAAATAACCTAGACAAAAGAGGAATACTTGTTGACAAATGGAATTTGTGGAATTTGCAAAACATGGTCACATTCCTCCTGCTAATTATGCAATAAGATTCTAAAGAACTCTGGCAAAGAAAGAGATCTTGGGATGGTATTACCTGTTTACCAATTGTTATCTGTTGACAATTTTCAAGAGGCCTTCTAGAAGTTTCTTTGTAGGCTACAAACGCACACAGTCATCACAGCCAAGCTGATATGGTAACTTCAGCAGAAGTTTATCACCTTCCTTCTTGAAAGTTTGTACTGTTATTCCAGCAACATTTCATGAATTTGTTGGCAGAAGATTGAAAAGCTATCGTCCTCTGATGTTTACACCAATTCTCATGACACCATGACTTTTCATTTGACTTATTCTACACTTCTTACCATATGTCTCACTCCTGTATGTTGTAATGTTACCGAGCATTTAAATTTAGGGATGTGGAAATGCTTAAGTAATCGCTCACGAACTACGTGGACCTAAATTGGAGTCATGGTGACCATAGAGTATCTCAACAAGCATATAGATAAAGTAGATGAGGTGGCAAAGATATTACTAAAGGACTTCTAGCTCTCTAGCACAAGAGCTATGTCGAGAGGTTGGAGGTGTTAAATACTGTATGCCAAAACTAGTTGACAAAAAGTTGGTGATATGATCACATACTGTACAACATTGTAATGGAAATACACCAAATTGATATGAAGGTATTTTTAAATCTGTAATATCGAAAACAAGAAGCTATAGTTTCAAGCTTAGAAAACAAAAGTACTGGGAAAGTATATGTAAATGCTACTTTTGAAAACTGAATGGTGTAACGATGGAATCTTTTAAATGAAAAGGAAGTGTAAGCCAAAAGCATCACAAGCTTTGAAACGACATATGACAAAGATTGAGATGATGGGACATCTTGAGTAATTATCTAAGTGAAGTTACATGATAAAAGCTATGCTTGTGGTGTCCTGTCTTCCCAATACTCTGTCATGTGACACCTTGAAACTACTGACAATTTTGGCATCCACCGCCACTTCACTTTTTCCAACTGTCTACCACTCGGTAAAAGTGAACTGTCTGATGTTTTTTTTGGTAGCTTTGTTTCTGTAGCTTAAATCTATTACATCTTTATACACAGAAACTTTACACAATTTTAAAAGCCATGTTGTTGCATGTCTTGGCATCTTTTCCAGTTTGTTGAAGTGCTGCTCAAGATACGGTCACTATATAACTTCTGCATATTCCAGTTTGGGTCTCAAAAAAGCTGTTTCTTTAGTATTTCACAATCCATGTATTTAAAAGCGGTTCTGAAATTGGAAAGTGTAGCATAAGCTCCTCGCACTTCTTTGTGTTCCTCTGATGACAGTCAACTATCCAGACCCATCCCTTCTGTTAACAGAGTGGACAAAGACAAACTCTTTAGCATGGGTGGAACACGAACAAGGGAACACAGGTGGAAACTCAATACCCAAATGAGCCACTGAGACATAAGAAAGAATTTTTTAAGTGTCCTAGTAGTTACCAAATGGAATGCATTAAGCAGTGATGTGGTGGAGGCAGATTCCATACATGGTTTCAAATGCAGATTTGATAGAGCCCAGTAGGCTCAAGAATCTGTACACCAGTTGATTGACAGTCGAGAGGCAGGATCAAAGAGCCAAAGCTCAACCCCTGCAAGCACAACTGAGTGAGTACCCCTAGATATCTTTCTTTGTTAATAGTGCTTTAATTTAATTCCTTTCCACATAATTTGTAGGTTGTGTGTGGCCTATGTCCTTCTATCCTATATTTCATAACATGGCATTTATTCATATTTAATTCCATTTGTCACATGGTACTTGTACACTTATTTTGTCTAAGTCATTTTGAAGGGCATACAATTTTCTGTCTTATTTCCCTGGCAGCTTAGCATCATCGGCAAACATATAGCTCTCATCCTGTAAATACACTTGGGTAATTATTTAAGTCTAATTATGAAGGGTGAAACCAATCTTGAAGCAAGCATGAGAATGGAAGTGGCAGAATAGAGGCCTTTTGGGTAAAAATCTATGTAGAACAATCCTCTTTATCAACCTCATGCCAAGTTTTGCTCCTGTGCACAAGTAGTGTGACCAGTTGTTCACTGTCCAACAGCACAAATGTCTATGACTAAGAAGCAAAGCCCAGAGAAATCACCATTATTATGGAAGACTTAAGAACAGAGGCAATAGACTGACTTAAATAATTTAATTGATTGCAAGATCACCGACACGTGCGGCTGGTATTCTTGCTCACAAGAAGCATCCATGAGACTACCGTACAACTTCAAAACAAACATTCCTAAGGATAAATACAGTTAACTGGATTTTGTCTCCTGCCTGACAACCTGTATAGGAATCACTCATTTAAATTGTGAGGTGGTCCATTTCAGAGGGGACCTTATGTTTCCCTGGGTTGCAGTCAGATGTACTCACCTAGTTGTGCTTGCGGGGGTTGAGCTCTGGCTCATTGGTCCCGCCTCTCAACTGTCAATCAACTGGCGTATATGATGTAGTGGCATGACGGAGCAACCACCTATTTGCGTGAATGCTAATTGGCAATCATTGGGTTTTAAGTTGAGCATTTTGTTTGAACATGCTTTTGACAAATCATTCCTAGCTGGATTGAACATTCTCAAGTGTCTTCTTAGAATCTGTATGAACCCCTCAGGGTTAATTTGAAGAGATTCCTGCCGATTGAATGCAGATTGTTGACCTTCCCCGACTGAGTATACACATGCTGCGAGACCAGAAGGTTCTTAGCCTGAGGGAGCAACCAGGTGTCATAACTCGGAAAATAATATTTGCATCACACTTCATTAGATGAAAAGGAACCCCTATTCTTAGTGGTGCTTCAGCCTACTTAACTTGGACATGTCTGTACTGTTCCCTTGGTGATGGTTGGGATAATTATATTATAGTACAGCGCTGCATTGGAAGATGTGCAGAGCAGTTATATTTAACTTTTTTAAAGCTTTGTGCAACTTTATTACAGGCATGTATATGTTGTTACTTTTAAGACCATGGCTTTATTTTGGTCCTGTTGAACAACTTTTATGTAGTTACTGTATCTCGGGATAAAAGATGTATGTTATGATTGATCAAGTTGATACATTCCATTCATTTTTAGAAGACACATACATATTAAATAAATCAGTTTAAATAAATACTGCCCTGTAATTAAATAGATTGTATACTGTACTGTATAATTTAGTCTTAAGCTAATAAAAATATTAATTTGGTTACCTGAGAAAAGTGATCCCCTTAGATGCATATTTCATTTATAGTACTGTAGTAATTTAGTGCAGATATAAATAAGGTAAATTCTCATTTTAATGAGTATTAAACTTCTTGGTGTGTCTGCTTTTCTATTACTTTTATAATTTGTTGTGGTAGGATAGCAGAAACAGGCTACTCATTTCAAGTGGCTATTCCCTCACAGACAAAAGGAGGGAAAAACCCATCTGGCAGTATGAAGCGCTCCCATCAGCAAGCTTTCCCGGCACCACCTCGACCTGGGGTACGCTCTTCCTGATTTTGTGTCGTGACATTTGAAGAGTAGGATTATCTGAAACTGGTCAGCATATTTAGACAAAGATTTTATTTGTTATTACTGTAATTTCAAGTGTATCCCCATGCAATCTGTTTTGCAGCATGCCCCCAAAATTGGGTTTCTTCGTGATGTTGGTGTTATAGTAGACGGAGCATTTTTACAAGACATTAAAGTACTGTATGCAAACAAATTACAGACCATCATCTATTGTTCTTAATTGAGAGACTGTACAAATAAGTTGAAATGTTTAGGCAAGAAACTTTAATGCAGCAAGCAGGTAACGATGCAGGATAGGGTTTACGTAACAAAAGATGAGCAGGAAGTAATAAACACGAAAGGCTCAAAACCGTATCATCGGTTGGTAGTGCAGACTAGTAACATAGTCCACTTAACAAGCATGCTAAAGTGAATACTGCACAGACATTTTATCATACAATATAAATACATAAATAAATTTTTTGCAAATGTATAATTATTATTTTATTCTGTTGTTGGCGAATGCAATATGTTTTGATAAACAGTCATGCTTGTTGAGCTTGTTATGCAGAGTAGTAAATGCATGTGCATTTATTAGCGTGTACATGTATCGGATGATGATTGAGTTAACTACACTACACAAGTTTTGTCCAGTCCTTTGTTATAGTCATAGACAAGTTTTGTCTTTTTCATTGTAATAGTCATTCATCTTATCAGGGTGTGTGTTGATCCCGAGAGCCTAGGAGCTGGGGAAATGTTGCCCAAGTTGGTAACAGTACAGTAGTGAAAAAATACGTAATGAGGATCTCTAAGCCCCAGTAATGATTGTGTGTACAATGATGCTTACTGTACTGTATATGCAAAATATATTAAAGATCTTCATCTGCTGAACAAATCCACAAGGGCCGTGATGAGGGTTTGAACCTACGTCCGAGAGGATCCCAGACATGCCTTAATCGACTGAGCTACTACATGGTAAAAAAAAATTGCAACCAGGAAATCAACTTGACCTACCATGGATCCTGCAGTCTCTCCATGACACAAACCAGGTTTTTACTCTGCCAATAAGCTAATCTACCTCTTCACCTTTACTTCATTACACACACAAATCACAATAGTGTGATGCATCAAATGAACAAATCCACAAGGGCCATGACGAGGGTTTGAACCTACGTCCAAGAGGAAGAGACTTTGTCTTGGAGAGATTGCAGGATCCATGGTAGGTCAAGTTGATTTCCTGGTTGCAATTCTTTTACCATATCGTAGCTCAGTCGATTAAGGCACGCCAGGGATCCTCTCAGACGTAGGTTCGAACCCTCATCACGGCCCTTGTGGATTTGTTCATTTGATGCATCACACTATTTTGATTTCTGTGTGTAATCTTCAACTGGTTATTCATAGTGAAAATTCTATGGAGGGAGGCTCATAGCTTCAGTCAGTATACAAGAGCATGATAAAAAGCCTATTGGCTCATACGATGCAGCTCTTGTATATGTAAACCAAATCTATTCATATATGAAGTACTGTATATCTAACCTTCACTTGAAACAATCCATCGATCTCACATCTATTACGTTACCCATTAACTTTTATTCCATGAATCAACATTCCTGTTTGCAATCCAATATGGAGTTCGGCTCATTGGAGATACCAGAAATGTTATTCCAAGAATCTTAATCAAAAGAAAGAGCTTTGGGTATGCAAAGGTCATTTACACTATTAGGAGGGTCATGACACTACCTTTACAAAAATAAAATAAGGGAGTTTTGGCATGGTAAATACCATACTGGGGATGATGGCAGAATCATGATAGTCAGACAATGGGGGAGGAAGAAAAAGAGAGTAGGAATGATATCTCCCTTTAATAATGCTTGGGATGAGGTGTTTTTAATGATTTTTATAAATGGATGCAACCTTAGAAAAAGTTGTCATGGGGAAGCCATGGAACATAGTTAAAGCAAAACTCTGTAGTTTTCATTTTAAGTTTGATGTCATTTTCATTGTTAATTACTACTGTGATACCATAATCCTACCTTGAAAAGTATGGTTTTGAGGCAAGAGGAAGTTGGGAAAAAATGGGAATAATTGAAATTTCTCTATAGTCAGATTTTACTGGTAGATATTCAAGTGTGACAGGCTGAAGTTAAGATTTACCCATAATCATAATCAACCATAATGCTAAGTTAAAATTGACCCTTAGAGCATGACAATTAATCAGTTCTCTCCAAAGTAAGTAAAACAAAAATTAAATTTGTCTATTTTCCCTTAACTTTTCTTATTTTCTCCAATTCACTTTCCAGTATATTTAAAAATGCATTGATTATTTCTACTTACGTTTTGTCTGTACTGCATATACTTGAGAGTTGTTTTATCATTTGGTGTAAAAAAGAAAACTGCAAAAGCTAGCAAGAAAATGGTGAAATAGTCATTGAACCAATATACTGTACTTTGTAAAATGGAAATGGTCAGATCCCAATTAGCCCATTTGAACATAGTGCCACTGTACAGTATACACATACAGTATATATGCAGCAGAATATACATAATGGCATGTTTCATCAGACAATATGCATTTTTTGGTGGACACCTTCAGCCTAAGGAATGTCATGTAATGTATAGACATTTTTGAACAAAGTCAATTAGTTGCTCATTTTGGCAATACTGTATCCTGCTCTTCCCAGGACAGGATTAACAACAGTGAGACAATAATGACATTATGGTAAAGACCTTTCAAATCATCATTGTCAGGTGACAGTGGTGAAGGGATTCCTCAATCCAGCTCAAAAGGAACATTTATCTGAACTCAAAACCCTCCTCCAAGCACCATTCAACCTCAAACACAATCACCAAACAGTACTTGGCTAATTAGCCGAGGACACCACACAGGTGTCGGCTACCTACGTGTCGGCAAAAGTTATTGGCCTTTAGCTATCCTAATGTTTATCCCGGTTCTTCCAATAACCATTCACCTGGAGCTGCAGAGTTGCCGACCAAAATTCAGTTAAATGACTAGTTCATCTTTGAAAATGTTGTTTCGTGAATAAGAGCTGATGCTTTCAGTGTGTGCTTCCATGGTGTGGTACTAACAGTTGTTTTTTTTTTGTCTCTGGATTTTGTCCAACATAAGAGTGCCATGGTTTTCCCCTCTCTTTGCTGTATCGTTTGTCTTGTTCGGGTTCTTCTTGATGTTACACCTGGTTGGTTCTTCTAGAAATTTTGGCTAGCTTGTGTTCTCAGTTTAGTATATTTGGTATGTTTGTGGTAATTGCTTTTCAGGTAATACACTCTGTCCATTGCATTGTGGGGTGATCCCCTTGTCAGGCATATCTTTCTACATGTGTATCAGTTCTTCAGAATTGTGCATTTTTTGGCATGTATCATTTGGGTCTGGAGAGGCCCAAATGATACATGATTTGGGGACTATTTGAGCTTGTAGGCCTGGAGAGGTTCCAGCTCATTACTTGTTCCTGCTTAGCTCCCAGCTCCATTTCTCCAAAGGAAACATTTTGGCACCTGCCTTCCAGTAGTCTTCCCATGGGAGGGGTAGAATTATAAGTGGCTAGATATCTCCTTTTAGCTCCACTCTGCAGCCCAGGCAACATCCCTTCAATTGTTTTACTTTCTCTTCCTTTCAGTGGTTGACTCTACAATGGAGCTTTGTCTGTGGAAGTAATCAAGTGGCCTAATCATATATTGGCTTTAACTATAGATGAAAAGCTTCATTCTGAGCTGGCTAATCAGTTGCATATCTTCCCTTTTGCTTTGACTCAACATTTCCATTAGGATATGTGATGATGGCTTTTCTTTGCAACTCTGCAAGACCTGGTGGTGGCCTGGGAAAGTACTTTCATCAGGGTGGGACAAAATAGCAGTTGGTAGACCAATGTTTGGTGATCTCTTTTTGTGTCTTGAATAGTGCTTAAAGAGCGTTTGAGTTCAGTTGAAGAATCATTCAAGGGTCATTTTGGACTGGATCAAGCAATCTACACCGTCTCCTTTACTCACTATCACCTGGCAGGGGGTATTGGAAAAAATCCATGCCATGATAGGGAGTAATTGTCAACATTGGCTATGGCAGATCCTGTTCTAGAAAGTGCAGGATATTGTTTAAGGGAGCAGCCGATTGTCCAGCTCTGAACAAAAAAAATTGGCAATTCTTATAGATTTTTTTTTTCTGGGGGAAGCCCCGTTGGCTCCCTGAAGCTATCCAGGCTGATGTGGCATTGTATTAGCTTTCTGGCATCAGTCAAGTTGCATGGAGTTCTTGCCTACCAGGGACCACGAACCAGAACCTGACCCCCTCAGAGAGGCACGAGGAGCAAAGGCCTATAGAAAACCCCCATGTGGTTGGGAGCATTCTATGTCTGTCATCGACTGGGTCTGGCACCCAGAAAAGTAGGCATCCCAAAACAAACCCCTATTCTGGTGAAAATATTGCTTCCGAAAGTCGAACGAGTGGACAAAACTCCCCAAACAAAGTAGCAAATAAGCATGACGTCATCACGTTGCCGCACCGCTGTCTGTGCACCCCTCCCCCCCCCTCCCCGGGAGGGGAAAGGGGGAGCCCCCAGACTCCTGTGCTGGTGATCCAACTGTCAGTTCTTGGCTGATGTGATACTGGCAGGTCACGTGACCTGCTGCGGTTTCAGTTTCTGTGCCTTGTGGTGTGGGCTGTCTCTACGGGTGGTGTTGTGTGAGCCAGGAGTAATAATCTACAGTGCTCAGGCGGCATGCGACTAGGGTTTCCTTCCCTAAGTGCCCTGTAAGTACTGTCCTTGGGGCTGCTTTCGTTAAGTTGCCTTGGGATCTACCTCCGCTGTGTCTTTTACTGCTTGGTACTTGGCTGCCCTTGGAGTCAGCTGGGGTTTCTGTTGCCCTTGTTTGCCTCTGGATAGGAGTTAGTTTTTGTCACAGGTAGGGGAGCAGGGTACTGCACAGCTAGTTATCACCTCTTACAGTGGTCGGCTCTGTTCCGCCTGGGTATGTTGTCCTCTTGTGGGGTTTTTCTTTAGTTTTTGTTTTCCTGCCTGGTGGCGGAGTCAGCCTTTGGTTGGTGTCCCCTATCTATCTTTGGTAGTCTTTATATAGACATATGTGTTCTTGGTTGTACTCCCTGCTAGGCCTCAGTGAGTGGACACGTCCTGGGGGTTCAGATTTTAGAAGTTAGCTTGGTAGTTTTGGGTGCCGGTTTCCAGTACCCTGCCTTAACATGTTACCAAGGCTAAGGGCCTTGCGAAACCCCACTGGGGCTCCGTGGTTCGATGGATGTGACCCCTTGAGTCCCCTCTTGCTTCGTGCAAGGATGATGGTTGCTCTGTCCCCATGTCTCAGGGGTGACAATCACTGGTTGTGCCTCCGCCATGCTGCCTGTAGGGTCAGTGATTCGATCTTGGCTGGGTCTTGTATGAGACTCTCGGACCGCTTCCTTGTCTCTTCTTCTGGCGTCTGATTCGCCTGCTTTCCCACCTTCGTCTGTTTCTGAGGGACTCCCGGGTCACAAGGTGGTTGCTCGAAGGTTTGTGCGAGAGCCTGAACGTTGCCATGATGGGGTTACCTGCCAGGTCGGGTGTGGCTTCGTCGGCTGTTCTGGTCCTAAGGGACGTCCCTTCCGCCTCTCTTGCAACTGCTTTATTCGGCCTCCGGGGGCTTTGCGTCGGTTGCTGTGTTGCCGGCTTCCTCTTCAGGATTTTTGAGGTTCAGTGTCTTGGCGCCTACCCGAGTCCTCGCTCGATGTGTTCATGGACGCATCGTCTCTTGGCTTAGGCTTTGTGATCATTGCTCACCAGGCTGGCCAGGGACGGTGGGGTCTGTCAGGGCTCTCGGTATGGTGTGGGAGTTCGCGGCTGTGTAGATATTGTTACATTGGATTCAGGTCACTCACATATCGACGATCCGGCTTCATTCGGACTGTTCCCTGGTAGTTCATTGCCTGAACCGAGGGGGGTTCGATGAGGTCCTTGTCTCTGTGGTACTGGTCGCTTCAGGTGTTTTGTCTGCCGAGTTCTCGGGGTTTGGCTCTCCTGGCGGTTCACGTTCGGGGAGTGTCCAGTGTCTTGGCGGATGGCCTGTCCCCGTTCATTCCCCTGTCCACCGAATGGATAGTCGACACCAACTCGTTCAGTTGGCTCTGGCGGACGTTTGGGCCTTCGGAAGTAGATCTCTTCACGTCGGCGTAGTCGAGGCATCTCCCGGTATATGTTATGGCCTTCCCCGACTGTGAGGCCGTCGGTGTCGACGCTTTCAGGCAGGACTGGGCGAGGTGGGGTTACCTATACCTCTCTCTCTCTCGGTTCAGCTGTTGCTCTAGTCCTGACTCCCTTGGAGACTTAACAGGGAAGTGTTGTCCTTCTGGCTACTTGGTTGCCGTCCCAGCCTTGGTTTTATGCGCTGCTTGTGCGGTATCGGAACCTGAGGGTCTTCCCATAACTCCGCCTCTTTCAGCAGATCGGTCCAGCCCGGTACGTAATTGGTTCATTCTTCTTGAATCTTTGCCTCTGGTGTTTCTGCCTCGGTCTATCTTCACTTGTATGAGGTGCAGGTGGCTTCGTTGTTAGTCTCTTGCCTGCGTGCTTCGTCTCGGCGGCAATATAATGTTTCCTGGCAGTCCTTCCAGTTTTTTCTATCACTACATAGGTGTCCTTCGGTCTCTGAGAGGGTTGTTTACTCCATTCACGGTTGTTCCAGGACCATAATCTTATGTCATACACTGTCGCCTCATATCGTGCGGCACTGGCGGAGCCGCTGCAGCTTGCGTTCGGTATTGATGTTACTTCTGCTCCATTCCTCTAGCTGTCTCGTGCATTTTCCTCTCTGGCCTGCTCTTGCGCCACCTGAGCCATCCTGGTCTTTGGTCTGGGTGCTCTTTTTTTTCTCTTGTCTCCTTAGTTTGTTGTGGTCCTTCAGTTCTGTTTTGTTTTTCTAAGGCTCTTTTTCCTGATGGCTTTGGCATCTGGGGGTCGGGTCAGGGAGCTTTATGTTCTCTTCTGGCGCAGGTGTTTTCTGCTCATTTGGTCCTGGTGGTGGGTAGGTTCGTTTGCAGCCGTCTCCTTCTTTTCTAGCAGTGAATGGGTCTGCTGCTTTCTGGAGGGGTCCTTGGGTTGTCGTTGCTTGGTTGGTTAGGCCGGGGGTGCACCATGTATTGTTGTTTGGTTGCGGCTCTCCGCTGTTCTCAGCGTGTCATGGCCTCTGTGGCCGTGGACGCGCTTCGGGTTGCCCTGATTCCCTCCCTTCCTTCCGACCCAGGGTTGGGGTCTCACAGGTCGTCCGCAGGGTCCTTCAGTTCTGCTAATTGTCTTGATTTTGAGTTAAGGATGCGTGAAGTCTGCCTTCTGGGTCCTTCCCACTTTTTCCTTATTTTTGGTGAAGTAGTCCTGGGGAGCTGATGGGGCTCTCCCCCAGAAAACTAGCGTTGAATGTAATGAAACGCCATTTTCTGGGTGAGTCCTGGAGGCTTCCCGGTATCCCTTCCTCCCTCCCTCCCTTCGGTTGGCAGTGTTTTTCGTGTGCTTTTAACACTTTCGCGCTTTAGATTAGAGATAACTCGTCGCCGTTTTTTCTTACGATTCCGCATAACAGCCTACTTTTCTCGTCCATCGAAAAAATATTTCTATAAATTCCATTTTTTAACTGAAATGGATGGGGATACTTTTGTTTTCTAGAGAATTTATTTGCGAATTTTTTGGTACCAGAATGAATATTATATCACATAAACTTCTATGAGTAAAAAAAAAATACACAAAGTATGTTTGGGGGTGTGGCGGGCGTGTGGCAGTGGGTTCCCTTTAGCCGTTGATATATCCAACACGTGGGAAATATTTGTATGTGTTATGTATATGTCTGTGTAGGGAATTTTACTGCGATCACTGTCATACAAATTATAAAATGTTTCAACAAGTATAAACATGACAAACATCAAACAAACCAAAACAATGCGTTCGTTTCTGCCGCGAACGCATACTGAGCGACGTGGTTCTATATTTGGCGCTTCTCTTACACATGCTTTATACAAATGTTATACAGTTCATCTTATAGAAAATTTTATTGCAAACACATTGGTATAAAAAAGAAATACGTACATAGAAAAGTAGGGTCAGGAAACGTATAAACTTTCCAAGCATGATTTCCCCCTGTGTTTTCACCAGTGCGCTCGCGGCTAACTACTCTCCACTTCACACACTCTTGCGGGTGGGCAATTACCTATATTAAACATTCATATGCATATGTCCGTGTAGAGAATTTTATTGCGATTCCAATGATACCAAAATTAGCGATGTAGGACAACTGTAGGCTTCGCAACCATTAAGAGAGTGGAAACATTTTGTTGCTGTTTGGCGCTCTCGGCGAGTGATCTGCATAGTTTTTTATTTGGTGTTGATACTCCTTATGCTTGGGCGGCATTTTATAGGTATGCTCTTATAGACAATTTCATTGCGAACACAGTGATACCAAATTTAAATATGTGCGCCTTCAATTATTGTCAGGACAGTCAAAAGAGTGTACACTTTTTCGGTCTTACCGCGTAGGCGCGCGAAGTGCCGAAAGCATCTGGGGTATTGTTTTTTTTTGAGCGCCGAGAGCGCGAAAGTGTTAACATCCAGCCTAAGAACTGATGGTTGGATCACCAGCACGAGGGTCTTGGGCTCCCTCTTCCCCTTCCCAGGGAAGGGGGGATTGCGCAGATGGCAGCGCACGAAATGTAATGACATCATGCTCGTTTGCTACTTTTCATTTGGGGAGTTCTGTTCACTCGTTCGGCTTTCGGTAGCAATATTTTCACCAGAATAGGGGGTTTGTTTTGGGGCGCACCTACCTTTCTGGGTGCCAGACCCAGTCGATAGCAGACATAGAATGCTCCCAACCACACGGGTTTCTATAGGCCATTGCCCCTCGTGCCTCTCTGAGGGGGAGCGCCACATTCTGGCTCAGGGTTTTCGGTAGGCAAAAACTTCATGCACTTTGATGCCAGAAAGTTAATAATGCCATATTAGCCTGGATAGCTCCAGGAAGCCTCCAGTACTCGCCCAGAAAATGGCATTTCATTACATTCAACGCTTGCTTCTTTTTTTTTTTTTTTTTGTGCGCAGTATTTATTATTATTACCAAGGTGCTGTATTGAGTTCATTAAATGTTCTGATGGGACTCAATTTCTTAATAAATTGTACAATCATTGATATTGTTCATCATTTAGAATAGATGCTAGCAGTATAGAGGCAACTTCTGCTTGCCATATTGCTTATTTCATAATCAGTGTGGCATTTGATATTATTTATTCATTATTAAAAAAAAATCCCTCCCTGCAATTTTTATCCATACACATGTAGTCTGAAGAAATATGAGATGCTGTACTTGAAATGTTGGGTTTGTACTCTATAATAAGTTCTGAATTGTTGTGCTGCTGTGTTTGTGTGTAAAGCATAGATTTCCTACAGTACACTTCTGAGTTGTTCATAACTTTAAAGTGTTTTTGTATGTGGCATATAAAATTGTTGCTATGGTTCAGTTGTCTTCTTATTTTCCATACATTATCTTGTCCTTAATTATAACGTCATAATTTCTTAATCGTAATTTCTCATAAGGTCATGATTTGGGCAAATATGTGCCAGTTTGTGATACTGTTCATAGTACAGTACTGTAGTTGTGTAACCTAGATAGTTGTAGTCATTACATTTATGTATTTGTCTTGATAGTAAGCTTTATATTATGTGGTTATCTTATTTTTATATTTGGCCTTCTCTAGGCGAGGGAGAAGCTTGATATTACCCCAGAGTCTCTGGCCAAGCTTGAAAAGGATATGGTAAGCATTTCCCACTCTTAAGTCCAAGCCCTCCCCTTCTTGTTCCTCATCTTGCAAGCCATGTGTCGTCAGCTTGATGTGTACAGAACGCTTGTGCTGGACAGTGAGCCAGTCTAGAAGCAAGCCTAACTTTGTCTCCTGTGTGACTCACCTTGATGAAAACGTTTATTCAGTATTGCCTTTGTCTTCCATGTTCAAGTAACCCAACAGCTTCAATAAATAATATAGAGAAAGTGTTTTGTGTGTGCCTTGCAGTACTAAAATCTGTTGTGTAACAGTGTTTGAATATTATAATAATAATAATAAAACTATTTTATTTGCAAGAAGGTACAGTGGGTTAGTGATATTACATAAGCTTGGTATTTTTACGTTCATGCAAAGCCACTAACACACACAGCTTTTCAGGCAGAAACTATTATTGAAAGAAAATTACTCTAATATTGGGACATTTGAGGGATCTCAAATGAGGGGGAACAAAATTGAGGAAAAAAGCCCTAGTTATGCTAGGGATTTTTCTTCTGTTGAGCAAATCTTTGAACAGAATCTATTAAATTGTTGAAAAATTAGTCGGTAAATGTATATACTGTACTGTACTGTATTACTAAAAGTTCATTGTTCATGTAAAGTAAATATGTTCAATACATTTTATAATAAAATGTTGGAAAATTTAACTAAATCTGCAGTACTTTATGCATATGTAATAGGAAACCATAAGTCGTGTATTTGACATAAAAACAACAAATAACAGGCATTAAAAGTAGGCAGGGATACATGCTGCACTTGCCATTAAAAGTGAGTTCAAGTATAGATGCAGGCATACATACATACTGCACTTGGCACTTAGCCATACTAGCTTATAATTACACGTGTAATTACCTAAGTGTAGTTACAGGATTGTAGTTACAAGTGTGTGTGTGTGTGTGTGTATGTGTATGTGTATGTGTATGTGTATGTGTATGTGTGTGTGTGTGTGTGTGTGTGTGTGTGTGTGTGTGTGTGAGTGAGATATGAAATGAAAGTTGAAGTATGGAATATTAGCATGAGCCCCAACATCAAACACAATAGTATTATATTATTACCCTCTTACCCAGTATCAACCCCTTTTCCCCCCCCCCTCTCCCCTTCCCCCCTCCCCCTCCCCCCTTTCCCCCTCCCCCTCCCCCCTTTCCCCCTCCCCCCTTTCCCCCTCCCCCCCTTTCCCCCTCCCCCCCTTTCCCCCTCCCCCTCCCCCCCATTCCCCCTCCCCCCCCCATTCCCCCTCCCCCCCCCCCCCCATTCCCCCTCCCCCCATTCCCCCTCCCCCCCCCATTCCCCCCCCCCCCATTCCCCCTCCCCCCCCATTCCCCCTCCCCCCCATTCCCCCTCCCCCCCATTCCCCCTCCCCCCCCCATTCCCCCCCCCCATTCCCCCTCCCCCCCATTCCCCCTCCCCCCCATTCCCCCTCCCCCCCATTCCCCCTCCCCCCATTCCCCCTCCCCCCCATTCCCCCTCCCCCCCCATTCCCCCTCCCCCCCATTCCCCCTCCCCCCCCATTCCCCCTCCCCCCCCCATTCCCCCTCCCCCCCCATTCCCCCTCCCCCCATTCCCCCTCCCCCCCCATTCCCCCTCCCCCCCCATTCCCCCTCCCCCCCCATTCCCCCTCCCCCCCCATTCCCCCTCCCCCCCATTCCCCCTCCCCCCATTCCCCCTCCCCCCATTTCCCCTCCCCCCATTCCCCCTCCCCCCTTTTCCTTCTCCCCCCTTTTCCCCCTCCCCCTTTTCCCCCTCCCCCTTTTCCCCCCTCCCCCCTTTTCCCCCTCCCCCCTTTTCCCCCTTTCCAAACCCCCCTTTCCCCCTCCCCCCTTTCCCCCCCTCCCCCCTTTCCCCCCTCCCCCTTTCCAAACCCCCTTTAACCCCTCCCCCCTCCCCCTTTCCAAACCCCCTTTAACCCCCTCCCCCTTTCCCCCTCCCCCCTTTCCCCCTCCCCCCTTTTCCCCCCTTTCCCCCTCCTCCCTTCACCCCCTCCCCCTCCTCCTTTTGCCTCCCCCTCCTCCTTTCACCCCCCCTCTTCCTCCTCTTCCCCCTCCCCCTCTTCCCTCTTCCCCCTTCCCCTCTCTTCCCCTTTCCCCCTTCCCCTCTCTTCCCCTTTCCCTCTCTTCCCCTTTCCCTCTCTTCCCCTTTCCCCCCTCGCTTTCCCCCCTTCCCCTCTTTCCCCTTTCCCCTCTCTTTCCCCTTTCCCCTCTCTTTCCCCTTTCCCCCTCCTCCCCTTTTCCCCCTCCTCCCCTTTTCCCCCCTCCTTCCTTTTTCCCCCCTCCTTCCCTTTTCCCCCCTCCTTCCCTTTTCCCCCCTCCTTCCCTTTTCCCCCCTCCTCCCCTTTTCCCCCCTCCTCCCCTTTCCCCCCTCCCCTTTTCCCCCTCCCCCTTTCCCACCTCCCCCTTTCCCACCTCCCCCTTTCCCACCTCCTCCCCCTTTCCCCCCTCCCCTCCTTCCCCTTTCCCCCCTCCCCTCCTTCCCCTTTCCCCCCTCCCCTCCTTCCCCTTTCCCCCCTCCCCTCCTTCCCCTTTCCCCCCTCCCCTCCTTCCCCTTTCCCCCTGTCCCCGTTTCCCTCTGTCCCCCTTCCCCCTGTCCCCCTTCCCCCTGTTCCCCTTCCCCTCCCCCTTTTCCCCCTCCCCCCTTTCCCTACCCCTTTTCCCCCTCCCCTCCACCTTCCCCTCCTTTTCCCTCCTCCCCCTACCTCTCCCCCCTCCACCTTTCTCTACTGAGGCTCACACAGGAATTGACATTTCAATACATTCAAATCTTGTTTTCTGGGGGAAGCCCCTTGTGTCCGAGCTGTCTTAGCACATGGGCCAGACGGGCACTTGCCTAGGGCCCCACGAGCATAGGACCTGTTCATTATGGAAGCAGAATGTTTAAATATATTGGTCTTGTTGCAAGCACACTTACATAATATAACCCCTACATCCTAGTGTGGGACTAAATACTAAATATTTAAGATATATATTTCCAGGTGAATAACCCTTTCAACAGAAATGAAATGTAATCGTTTTGAGTGGAGCACAGAGGAAGAAGAGAGCTGCAGAGAAGGAGAAAATAGGAAAACTTCCAATAATAACATCGTGGATCAACACAAGTGCAGTGACAGCCACTCATACCATTCCTTCAGATATAGCATCCACATCAGCATCCACTCCTGCAATGTCAGCCACTAGTACTGTTCCTTCAGATACAGCATCCACATCTACATCCATTCCTGCTACCAATCATTCAGTTTCAACAGACATACTATCATTGCCTGTTGCTGCTGCTGCTGGTTACATTTTACAAGAGGAAATACCGTTATCTGTAACAGTAAAGGAGTTTGCAGTCCAAGAGACAGATCCAGGGCTATGGAACATTAATGATACTAACACAATAGATTACTGGAGTCATAGTGGGCCCTCATCATGTCAGAAAAATGATGGCAACCTTTCAAACTCACACAGTGTGCATAAAACTGCTGGAGTAGAGAATATGAAGGCAAGGTACTTATCAAACAATGTGTTCAAACGTGAACTGCGGAATGGCGAGTATAAAAAACGTGAATGGCTACTCTATTCACCGTGCCAAGGTCGTTTGTACTGCTTTGTATGTCGCCTATTGTCCAAGCAACAATTCCCCTTTGCTACATTCGGGCTCAATGACTGGAAGCACAGCAATGTTATTGTAGAACATGAAAATGGAGAAGAACATTGAAAGTGCATGACAGCATGTTTGATAAGGCATAAAGAAACTGGAAGTGTAGATTCTTTATTACTTGAGCAACATCGCTCAGAGCAGGAATATTGGCATAAAGTGTTGACATATGTGGTTTCTGTAATTTGATTTCTTGCCTCTAGAAGTTTGCCATTTTGTGTAGAAAATCAGATTATTGGGTCAGCAAAAAATGGCAACTACTGTATTTAGGTATACTAGAGCTGCTGAGTGAATTTGACCCTTTCTTCGAAGAACATCTCAAAATGTATGGATATCCTGGTAAAGGAAATCCATCATATTTATCTGCAAATATTTGTGAGGAATTTATTGAATTAATGGGACAACAGGTTCTTTATACTATTCTTGAAGAAGTAAAAAGAGTCAAGTATTATTCAATAAGTGTAGATATCACTTCAGGCATCTCACATATAGATCAACTGTGACACACAATTTGGCAGGTCATATTCTAAGGAAAAATAGGATTAAGGACCTGCCTGAAATGCTATGCATGCTAGTGGGTTTACAAGAATGTAAAAACTCTTATATTAAAAAAAAGGAACCTGTCGTGAGACATGTTCTTCCTAAAAATAAGTGTTGGGATATCAGTTGTTGTTTCAATTGTCCTGGACGACGCATTTTAAAGAATGTTTCATCATCATACAGAGGCTAAGAAATACATACATTTCGGCTACAATATTGTCCATCCAACATTGCATACCTGAAAATGTTATGTCCTTCTTTTCAATAACTACAGCAGCCCACCAGTCTTTTTCCTGAACAATGTGTTCAATGAGCGGCTCACCAAAATATGCCATAAAATTGTCCATTTCATATGTGTCTTCACCAGTATAAGTGAAATGGCCTGTAATGCCTACATCTCTCTTATCAAATATAGGAATTTGTGAAACAAAGTTTGTGCCATTGTCCCACAGGAGTACACCTGCCATTCTGAAACAGCACCACCACGATGGCAATATATCCTACCTCCAACAAAATTACATTGGCCAGGAGATAAAACCCTTCTACTATGCATGCTGCTGTGAACAGTTGAACATGAGGGCATTCTTCCTTCAATTTCTGTGTGCTACATCACACACCAGCATTTTGCAGGGCAAGCAGCTGATGCTACAAAGCTCCGCTCGACTTCTCTGCACATTCCATTATCACTGGGCAATACTGTGAATTGCTAACACATGTAACAGAATCCTGGCCACTGAATTGGAAAAATGAGTAATTTTTCACATGTTCACAGGGTATTGGAACAGCATGTAACACAGACCCATATGGCCTGTGTTGGCGTGGCAGTGGTGGTGGAACTGGACCACAGTGACAGTGATGATGGTTTTAGCCTCACCCCAGGAATGGTCACTCGTGCATCAGAATCACTGTATCACTTTTATCTGAGCCCTGTGCATAGTCTTTATCAGTGTCTGAATCATGTCTCACTCCTCATCTGTTTCCAGGCATTTCGTGTTAATTTCATCATCAGTAAGCGATACTGTGGCATGCGTCACATGGTGGCATGCGTCACATGGTGGCATTGTGAGCGGGATTGGTGTGCGTCATTCATAGTTGCTTGATACAAACTGAGGCCTTCCCACCAATGCAGCCTGCTCATTGCATTGGTGGGAAGCATCTTGAAACAGCCTGTGTTTCAAAATGGCAGATGTTTAGTCCCCCTTGGGGGGTGACAGTAAATGGGGGCTCCATTTTCACCACAGGATTTTTAAATCTTTCACGGTACAGTACTGTACTTTCATACATCACTGGTTGTGATGCGCAATTGAAGTGTTAAGGCAGAGGTATCTGGGGTTGTTGTGGGTGCTGCCACCTAATGGCAATTGTAGATAATTGTCAAGTGAGCCAATCAATGGGTAGCATCAGCATTACTTGGCAGTCTTTGTAAGGCCAAGTTGGGCTTGGAAGAGTTTTGAATGTTTAAACCTTGTTGAGGTCACTCTGAGCTGAATTGAATTATCCTCCAGGGCTTCTATAGCACCAGTATAACTCAACAAGACATTTTAAATAATTTCTATTGTGTTGATACAGAATGTCACCCTGTGCTCACTGATGTGATCGTCTCCAATGGGAACAAAAGGGCTCTTGCCCCAAGAAGTAACCAAGTGGAATACTATGTCGCTAGAAGAGGGCATGGAATCAATTTACTCCAAATGTTTCCAATTTACTTCCAAATTATATAAAACTAAATTATGCTTTTCTGAAGAACTTTTCTACCCTTCCAGGCTTTGAGTTGGATTAATAATTAAAATTATAGATTAGAAAATGTAAGCTTATTTACATTAAGTAGGAGTTCATAATGTTTTCTATTTGCTTAGTTTATTCCAATACTGTACTGTATATTCTTCAACTTTCAGACAATTTGTAAGCCAGCTCCATTTTCGGATGATGAAGAAGCTGTGCGAGACAGAGATGCCTGCAACTATGATCAAAAAATCACTTTGGAAATGGCAAGAGCAGGAACCGCTCCTCGATCCATCAGGATGTATGCAGATGGCATTTACGATCTCTTCCACCAAGGGCATGCTCGACAACTCATGCAAGCAAAAAATTTATTCCCTAATGTCTACTTAATTGTGGGAGGTTAGTAGCCTTTACTTAATAATAATAATAATAATAATAATAATAATAATAATAATAATAATAATAATAATAATAAATTGTTATGAAATGTGTGGGGGTATGATACAGTATAAATTGTGTGTACCTTATAGATATTTAGATTTTTATAATGCCATGAATTACTTAAAGCATTTCAGGCAAAATGTTTGGTATTACTTTTTGGGGAATAGCAATGATATTTGCTTGTTTTCTGTGGAAAGAGGGATTCTTCTGAATTTGGGTCTAGTATTTCAGTGAAAAAAAAACCAGCGTTGAATGTAATGAAACGCCATTTTCTGGGTGAGACCCGGAGGCTCCCCGGAGCTTTACCGGCTGATATGCTAATGTCAGACTTTGGCATCAGTCATGTGTATGGAGTTCTAGGGCCTACCGGGGACCACGAGCCAGAACCTGGCCCCCTCAGAGAGGCAAGGGGAGCAATGGCCTATAGAAACCCCCGTGTGGTTGGAAGCATTCTATGTCTGCCATCGACCGGGTCAAGCATCCAGAAAGGTAAGCATTCCAAAACAAACCCCTATTCTGGTGAAAATTGCTACCTAAGCCGAACTAGTGGATAGAACTCAACAGAAAACAAGGAAACTAGTATGACGTCATACGTCACCGTGCCGCTGTCTGCGCAGCTCCCCCCTCCCCGGGAGGGGGAAAGGGGGAGCCCCAGACCTCCCACGCCGGCTATCCACCCATCAGTTCTGAGGCTGGATGTCAAAACACGCGAAAAACGCCGACCGGAGGGAGGGAGGGTTGCCGGGGAGCCTCCGGGTCTCACCCAGAAAATGGCGTTTCATTACATTCAACGCTGGTTTTCTGGGGGGAGCCCCGTCGGCTCCCCGGAGCTAACTACCCACAGAGGAAGGGCAAAGGGACAAAACCGGGAGGCGGACACCACGCACCCCCCAAGGAGGCGAGACAACCGGCAGCAAACGCCAACCCAAGGCGCCACAGCCCCGAAAATCCCGGGAACAACACGAGAACCACGAGCAGCAAGGCCCCTGCACGAACACCAAAAATCCATGCCCGAAAGACTGCAAGGCCACATCGCCCAGACGGCAGCGAGAGCAGCGAAGCCATGAACGCCACAGGCATGAGGGAAGAACACAGGCAGCTTAGCCGCAAGAACACGGCTGACCACCCGGGACACTATCACCCGCGAACCGGGAAGAACAGAACCGGATCAACGCAAAACGCGCTCCGGACCCAAACGCCGTGGCACGCAAACAACAGCGGAGGGCCACCACTGAACACAAAAACGACACACCCCCGGCCCGACCAACGAAGCACCAACAAACCCTGGACCCCTCCAGAATGCAGCAGCCCCACCCCGCGCCAGAAAAGATGGAGACTGCTGCCATCAAACAACCACTGGAGCCGGAGCACATAACCATTGCCTATAGCATCAGCCGAAGAACTGGTGGGTAGATAGCCGGCGTGGAAGGTCTGGGGCTCCCCCTTCCCCCTCCCGGGGAGGGGGGAGCTGCGCAGACAGCGGCGCGGTGACGTATGACGTCATACTAGTTTCCTTGTTTTCTGTTGAAGAGTTCTATCCACTAGTTTGGCTTAGGTAGCAATTTTCACCAGAATAGGGGTTTGTTTTGGAATGCTTACCTTTCTGGATGCTTGACCCGGTCGATGGCAGACATAGAATGCTTCCAACCACACGGGGGTTTCTATAGGCCATTGCTCCCCTTGCCTCTCTGAGGGGGCCAGGTTCTGGCTCGTGGTCCCCGGTAGGCCCTAGAACTCCATACACATGACTGATGCCAAAGTCTGACATTAGCATATCAGCCGGTAAAGCTCCGGGGAGCCGACGGGGCTCCCCCCACAAAAGAGAGTTGCAATATTAGAGTACGAGCTAAGATTTGTTATGCATTTAAGCATTGTAAGATACAGGTCTTTCATCTAGTTCATATTGCATGTTCAAACCCAGAATGTGTTCATGACTTATTCATCAAGTAGATTTATATGGCAGTGAATCGTATTGGCCATTATATTGCTAATGAGGATACCACCGAGACGAGGTTAACTGGTAGGCTTCCAAGTCGGTTGTTTCTCTCTTGAACTGCAGAGTTTTTTCAAAACTTCTTTCTTTGTTGTGGACTATTTTTATAATAAAGGTAAATATCCTCTTTATGCTGGGGATATGTTAGTCATGGAACAAATTTGGTTGTTCTACAACCAAGAATTTTATTAGAAGTTCATAAATTTTTTTAAATATTTATACTGTACTATAACGGCAAGTTTTAAGATAATTTTAATTATCATGTAAAAGTGGTTTGTCAGTACAGTCCTTGTGAATTTCTCACTCTTAAAATTGAACCAGTGGTTAAACTGGATTTTCTTTTTAGGAATGGACTCCCTAGGTAGCTTCTAAAGCCCACCTGTGGTACCAGCAAGCCTTAACTAATTGCAGCAGGCCTCCAAGACCAATTCTTGCCTACCAATAGCCAGGAATAAATTTTGACTTGCTGTGCAAAGTGGGTGGATCTTGGGGGATCAAAAATTTACCCCAAACTGAAATAAATCCCTGCTGAAAGCATAGTCATAACAAAATAAGTTATTGATTGAATGAAAATAGGCACCCAAAGGTAAATATTTGTAAAAAAAAATTTTAATATTGTCAACGGTTCCCCCCCATCTTTTAGCAAAGTGGTTCTGATTCAGAGAAAGTCAAAGCTTCTTTCTCATATGAGGAGTATGGTGAAGCACAATAGGAGCAGGTGAGACAACATACTTCACAGTGGGACATTTGGTCTCTACAGGTCCACAAAGGGCGTGATGAACCCAACTCTAGGTGGGGAAACGGGGGACAGTTAATACCAACCAGCAAAGGGAAGTACAGAGATGATCACATGCCAGAAAATACCTCATTATCTGAAGATCTGGGATCAAAAATGATTGAATAGAAGCCAGACTGTATCCTGAACCATTCCTTCATGCAAGGCTTCTCTTCCTCTTCCCTAATGCTGGCTTGGTTGTTAACCACATAAATTATGTTAAAACTATCACTGTCCCGGCGGGCGACCCGCATTGCTCTGGAAGGTAGGCCGAGCATTGCCGGTGAGCACACAACCCAGTGTCAAACTCGTTCACTTGCCATGTTTATACTTGATAATAAGATTAAGCACAAATTTAGGCATGATGCTGAGAACGTCATCATGCAGTCTGCGTATTTTGGTTTTATGACGCCGAGAACGTCTTAAGGGTGGGAAAGTGTTAATGGAGCTCTGTGTACTGTAATGTACAGTATTTTCTGCATTAGTTTGGAGTGTTTAGATTATGACCATGTAAATTTAAAGTTAGAATGCATTTCATAAGTAATTTTATAATTGGGATACAACTGCTGTACATTCTCAGTAAATTTATAAGGCTTAGATTTAAATTAAATTGTGAAGCTCTGTTATTAAATGTAACTTAACAAATGCTAAGTTATGTCTGTTATTAATTAATAATAAAAATAATTTTCTTGAGGAAATTTAAGAGACTAAAATTTTTCAGTAAATAGTGATGCAATGACTCATCGGCGCAAAGGACGGACAGTCATGACGGAAGATGAACGCTACGAAGCTGTCCGACATTGTCGATATGTTGATGAAGTTTTGCCAAATGCTCCATGGAGTCTAGATGATGAATTTTTGGAAAAGTATAAAGTGAGATTCCTATGTAGTTCATCTTCTTCAGATTTAAAGATGTTTCATCACCTTTTTTCTGTGTGGCTTTGTATGTAGAGAGAGAGTGGTCTTGCATGTTATTACTTGTAGTTACTGAAAGAGAGCTTAAGTTTGTTGTATGGGTTATTTGGTTTCCAATGATTGCTTATATCTTGTATATATTTGCATATGATGATAATGATATCCTTACCTGGTTGATACCTGGTTGATGGGGTTCTGGGAGTTCTTCTACTCCCCAAGCCCGGCCCGAGGCCAGGCTCGACTTGTGAGAGTTTGGTCCACCAGGCTGTTGCTTGGAGCGGCCCGCAGGCCCACATACCCACCACAGCCCGGCTGGTCCGGCACTCCTTGGAGGAATAAATCTAGTTTCCTCTTGAAAATGTCCACGGTTGTTCCGGCAATATTTCTTATGCTTGCTGGGAGGACGTTGAACAACCGCGGACCTCTGATGTTTATACAGTGTTCTCTGATTGTGCCTGTGGCACCTCTGCTCTTCATTGGTGTCAATGTCAATCAATCCTTATTGATTGTTATTTAGCCATGTATCCCACTGATGGCACAGTTTAACCCTTTTGCTGTTACAGTGTAATAAAACAGACGTATGTTTGGTAGACTGCCTGGCTATGATGATGGTAGACTTCTAAAGTTCTTGTACTTCTACTTCAGTATTCTTTTGCACACATATTTTGTTATACTGTACAGTACAGTATATTGCAAGAAAATGTAAACATATTTTAATTAATTATGGATGTTTTGGAATGATAGCAAGATGTAAATTTCATCATTGCAGCCTTAATACTCTTTCACTGGGTAATTTTATCATTGCACTATTACTCTGGACACCTACTCGAATAGAAATTGATGAGCTGGATGCAACGGAACAAAGCCGACACAGTAGAACAATCATTATTAATAACGTAGAAAATTTTCAAGTAAAGCAAGCTCATGCATTCAGTTGAATGGAAAGTAGTGTCAAAAAAAGTGGCAAAATATTTTTGAAGGTGGCTTTGGTATCAAAAATCAAAATGTGTGCAAAAAGATGTGCTGTTGCTTACACTAATGACAAGATAATTTGGTTTGATGAAGAATAACAAATCGCACCTGGATGCAACAAGTTTGTTTGCAATGTTAGGGGGTCCAATACAGATCAGTCCATTCACTCAGGATTTCAGTGTACATATTTGTGTACAATGGAGTCTTATTTAAACAGAACAATTCATACTGCACCAATTTCTTTGCTTCCACACTTTTCTATTTTATTCTCAGAATTATTTCAGAAAGTGGTTTGTAACATGGACAAATTGTGTAGTATTGAGTGTAATTTAGTGCCCTTATCTGGGAACCACCTCAAATATCTCTCCTCGGCTTATTTCGCTGTCTCCTTTGGGTTGTGAATAAACCTGTCTCCTGTAACATCACAATGTATGCAGGCCTGGGGGGAAAAACTGCAAAGCATCCAAGTTTGTAATTCCTGAGTTCTGAAAAAGAGAAGCCTAAATTAACTGGACTGTCTTTGTAAAAAAAAATATTGTACCAAGCTTGAGAACATGGGGACATGGAACACTCAACAAAGAACTAAACAGGATGTTGATGGTACCAGGAGAAGACTACAACCAACCACAGCAGGACACTGAGGGTGACTCTGGCTGCAGGCTTTTCTTTGCAAGTTTATTGATGTCCAAATATTTCTTGAAGAGGGTTTGAGTATTTTATTTTGATACTTTGGACTTTTCAGTAGTAGGTTAGTCTTTCATCGCCACATGCTACTCTGGCCGGTAAAGGAGCCATGATATAGTCCCTTACTCGAGGTGTGTCGTGACATTCAGAGGAACCCGGCACATTGATTTTTTGCCCTGGAGTTACCAGTGCTGTAAGTTCAGGGAGCCAAGAGTGTCATACTAACTCTGGGCCAAAAGTACTCACACAATACTAGCAACATTCAATCTCTCCCTATATATGTCTGTATTTTAAAATATATACAGAAGTAAAGGGTTTGCTTTTTTTTTTTTTTTTTGTATTTTGACATGTACCAGAAATAGTGGCCAGGGATTACCTCCCTTAATAGGTTTCGATCGATACATACCTAGTTTTGTTTACTTTTTTCACACATTCATTTGTTTACACAAATTTAATTGGCAAGCTTTATTTTTTTCTGTAGCCTTGTATCTCTACATTTTAACATTTGGTTAGTGTGTGTCTAGTTACAGGATGAGAGCTACGCTCGTGGTGTCCTGTCTTCCCAGCACTGTCATATAACGCTTTGAAACCACCGACGGTCTTGGCCTCCACTACCTTCTCACCTAACTTGTTCCAACCGTCTACCACTCTGTTTGCAAAAGTGAATTTTTTTTATTTTTCTTCAGCATCTGTGTTTAGCTAGTTTAAATCTATGACCTCTTGTTCTTGAAGTTCCAGGTCTCAGGAAATCTTCCCTATCAATTTTATCAATTCCTGTCACTATTTTGTACGTAGTGTTCATATCACCTCTTTTTCTTCTGTCTTCTAGTTTTGGCATATTTAATGCCTCTAACCTCTCCTTGTAGTTCTTGTGTGTGTGTGTGTGTGTGTGTGTAATTACCTAAGTGAATTACCTAAGTGTAGTTACAGGATGAGAGCTATGCTCGTGGGGTCCCATCTTCCCAGCACTCTGTCATATAACGCTTTGAAACTACTGAGTGTGTGTGTGTGTGTCTCAGAGGTGTAGATTAATCAGCATGCTGCAGTGTTCATTGCCTTGGATAATGCAAGGTTTAATTTGTTTGTAAATATTGTGTGACATTGTAAAATGAAGATCATAGTTTCTTTTAGAAAGAAACTTAGATTTATAAATGGGGTGACTTATTTTTGTTACCTTTGTAAAGAAACAATTTATTTTTACAGTTGAACAATGATTTCCTTTCCAGATTGATTTTGTAGCACATGATGATATACCATACACAACTGGTAGTGAAACTGATGTCTATGAGCATATCAAGGCTCGAGGAATGTTTGTTTCAACAGAGCGTACAGAGGGAGTGTCTACCAGTGATGTCGTTTCACGCATAGTTAAAGACTACGATGTATACGTTAGAAGAAACTTGGCTCGTGGATACAGTGCAAAGGATCTTAATGTTTCTTATATAAATGTAAGTGAAAGGCATTGTAATGTTTTACTTGATATACTTACTCTATTTTGTTAGTGAATATTTATTTACTAATTTTGATGTTATATGTAGTTCTTTTATGGTGAATATTGGTTATGGAAAAGTAGTGTTAGCATTAATGTGGTGGAAGAAAGTGATGAGAGTTTACACTTGCTACTGGAAATGAAGCATGGGCATTGACTGATGTAAGATCTAACTATTGATCATGCTCTTATTAAAAATATAATTAAAAAATGAATATTAAATTGGTATATGGTAACAAAGCAGTAAGTGGCAGGAGTATGGAAGGTGCTCAGTGATAGAGACGACGAGTAAAACGTGTGGCAAGACGGGAAAGAATTGTGGATTCTTCCGTCTCGCCACAAAATGGATGACGGGAAATATATTTATTTATTTATTTATATATACAAGAGTTCTTACATTCTTGTACAGCCACTAGTACGCATAGCAATATTGTAATATTGATTTTATTGTAATATTATTTCCACTGCTAGCGTGATGTTGAGGTTACCTTCCACATCACTCAATATATGCAGTATGCACAGTCATTATGAGTAAAGATGAAATAAATGAGATATACATGTTCGGATACCACCGCTAGCATAAAATGCAGTGGTCTACACAGTAGCATCCTTCTACGCCAGATGCTCAGGCCACACTGGCATCAGGATCAAATTATACAACCACCTCACTCTTTCATTGGGTTGGGATGCCAACAAACACCAGAAATATTATATAAAAACATGCAAATCTAATTTATTATACAAAAATAATGTTTAGACAAACATTACACATTACCATCGACAAATATAACTCGCCTGCATAACCACTAAAGTGGGGTGGATGGTTAATTATCCATAACTGTGGTAATATTTATCATATAACTACAAGCTTTATACCACAATATTACCATATCCCACAGCTTTTTTACGCACATTTCACAGATTTTTTCACATTTCCATTTTTTTCACATTTCCATTTTTTTTATGAACAGGTTCATCTGTTCATAAACAGATGAATAAGTTTGAGTTTAAAAAATTTCCTGAAATATATTCAAGAGTTAATCAAGGTATATGGAAGGACCATCAAATATTTTCTTTGCAGGAAAAGAAATATAGGCTTCAGAATAAGCTAGATGACCTTAAAAAGAAGGGAAAAGAAATGATTGAAGATATAGAAGGCAAACGCACTGATCTCATTTCGAAGTGGGAAGAGAAAAGCCGAGAATTTATTGACACTTTCCTCATGTTGTTTGGTCGTGACGGGCGTCTAACTCAGTACCTGACAGAAAAAAAGGACTCGGTCATGAGTGCGTTGTCTCCCCCTTCATCTCCCAAAGCCATTAGTCACTCCTCGGAGGAGTGTAATAGGTAAGTGAAATTGTCATTTACTAGTGTTGCAACAAACCATTTACTGTATTTTCAGCTTAAATAATGAGAATTGCAATTTAAAAATAATAAAATACTTAAAAAATAATCAGGTTAACAGGACTACTACTGTAAAAATAATGATATTTCCTCATGTTTGGTTGTACAGAAAGTACTTTACAAATTTGTGTCTGAGAACACTTAAGAGTTTTCCATAGTCAAATCTGTGTAGAAGATTAAAAAGTACACACAGAAATCACAATAGTGTGATGCATCAAATGAACAAATCCACAAGGGTGCAGTCAACTAAGGAGCGTCTGGGATCATCCCAGACGTAGGTTCGAACCCTCATCACGGCCCTTGTGGATTTGATCATTAAAAAAGTGTTTTATTTAGAATTTTTTTTTTTTTTTTTTTTGTGTGTGTGTGTGTGTGTGTGTGTGTGTGTGTGTGTGTGTGTGTGTGTGTGTGTGTGTGTGTGTGTGTGTGTGTGTGTGTGTGACTTTCATGTTAAGCCATGCTTCTAAATTCCAAAAATCAATTGCAAGCTTTGTTTCATTGCTACATAGACAAGCAAAGCAGTTAGACAAGAATGTGTTATCTGATATTGATTTTGAAATATCATTGCTTTTGATGATGGTTTAATGATCTGCGGTACTAAATGCCGATGTTTAATAATGTTTAGCGCCAGTGTTAGAAAGCATGACAAGTCAGGCTCGTGCACCAGGTTTACAGGTTCACTGTGATTGGTCTACTTTTTAACCACATGATTTTCATCAGCAGTCTATAGTATGCCATTTTTAGTATCTTAACACCTTTTTATTTCTTCTAGAGCACTATTAAATAGTACCCCACCAAATTATTCTTGTAAACAAATGTTAATGTTGGCCTTTTTACATTTCATCATTTGTGATAAAGCTCTAATTCCAAGATGTATTTGCATGGAATATAGATGTAATTCAAATTAAATATGGGAAATAATGTTGAATATGGAAAATAATAAATAAATAAATCTCAATAGGTTTAGATTTCCTGAGTATAGTTAGAATATACATTGTCTTGTCATTATCACAGTTCATTATGTCAAAGCTGCAAAATTCAATATAGGTAGAGATAATGTAAATGTAGGTAAAGCATCATTTTAACGAGTTTAAATGTCTCTCTCTTTCAGTCCTCCTGCAAAAACCTCCAAGTTTGATTTCTCAAGTCGGGCCGGTGCTTCATTAGTTGACGATGACTACTCAGACGACGATTTAGAGCCAGGGGGTATGTGAAGACGGCTGATACAGTACATTCTTTTATATGCTCCACTCCACATAGGGTTGTAGGATATACAGTAATTTATTCTTGCCAAACATAATATATCTGCATGGTGACATTGGCTATCAGTGCACTCAAAAACATTAGCAAATTATTTATATTTATTACAGTGTTATGAGTTTTGTGATGACTCACTAATTGTTAGCAGTTAGAGAGTTTGTTCAGAGTTCAGCAATATTTTTTTATGTAGTATTTTTCAAGTGTGTGTGATCTATATTAATGATTTTGGAAATGTTTTTCTGGTAGAATATTGTGTTGCACCATTTTCACAAATGTTTTATTTATTGGTAAGATGTAGTATTATTCTTTATTATTAGTCATAATGCACGCTTGCCAAGATCATATTCGTAATTATTTTTTTAAGATTGTAGTTGTAAGTACAAATATTATTTAGACATATATTTTGTTTGGTTACTGTTTGTTTTCTCCATATGGAGATACACTAGGCTTTCTACTTTGTAATTCAGTTCAACATATCTCAAGCTTTTCCTAAATGACCTTAGTGCTAATTAGAAGCAATATTAACACCTGTTTACATATATGGAATTGGATCTGTTGCTTGATGGTGTATTTGACAAGAGTCAATTAAAGGCTTGCTTATACATTTATAGCTGAGGGAGTTATGGCAGAGAGCTGAGGAATGCATTCAGTACCCCCACTTACAGTTCAAAATTATGTCAGTTTTCAAGTAGGAATAAGTATTGGTTATTCCTTTTCTCATGATAGGTACAGTATTATATACCAAGTATATTTATAAAACAGTACATTAACTCATTCATGGCAGTGTATTTTGAGAGTATAAAGTACTTAGTCACAATAGGTGCCATCTTTGATCAATACACACACAAATCACAATATCTTTGTGATTATATCTTTGAAATATCAGATGTTTATCTTTAATCAGTATTTGTGAGATGACACTTGCCATATACCACCAGCTGCTGACAATTACATGTTGACTACTTTCACTCACCACCACCACTTTCTACCACCCTTTTATAACACCAGCCACCCCAGCCACACCCAATCTCCCACCAGCCACACCCAATCCCCACCAGCCACACCCAATCTCCCACCAGCCACACCCAGTCTCTCACCAGCCACACCCAATCTCCCACCAGCCACACCCAATCTCCCACCAGCCACACCCAATCTCCCACCAGCCACACCCACTCTCCCACCAGCCACACCCAATCTCCCACCAGCCACACCCATTTCTCCCACCAGCCACACCCAATCTCCCACCAGCCACACCCAATCTCCCACCAGCCACACCCAATCTCCAACGATCCACACCCAATCTCCAACGAGCCACACCCAATCTCCAACGAGCCACACCCATTCCTCCCACCAGCCACACCCAATCTCCCACCATCCACACCCACTCTCCCACCATCCACCTCCACTTGCCCACCATCCACCTCCACTTGCCCACTATCCACACCTACTAGCCATCATCCTTACACCCACACACCCATACACACCCAACCCCACACACATGGTAACATGGTACAAGATAACATGGAAGAAAATTTTTCTAACTGACAGAAAAATGAGGGCAGTACTCAGAGGCAATGTATTGGACTTGAGAAATATCACAAGTGGAGTACCACAGGGTTCAGTTTTTGCAGCGGTAATGTTCATTGTCTACATAAACGATCTACCAGATGGAGTGCAGAATTATATGAACATGTTTGCTGATGATGCTAAGATAATAGGGAAGATAAGAAAATTAGATTATGTATTATCTTGTCCTTCAAGAAGATCTGGACAAAATAATTGTATGGAGCACCACTTGGCAAATGGGATTTAATGTGAATAAATGCCATGTTACGGAATGTGGAATAGGAGAACATAGACTCTACACAACTTATAAATTATGTAAGAAATCTTTAAGAATTCTGGTAAAGAAAGAGATCTAGGGATGGTTCTGGGTAGAAAACTGTCACCTGAGGACCATATTAAGAACATTGTGCGAGGAGTCTATGCTACACTTTCTAACTTCAGAATTGCTTTTAAATACATGAATGGCAAAATACTAAAGAAATTGTTCACAACTTTTGTTAGACCAAGGCACCTGACAGCTGAGTGGACAGTGCTTCGGATCCGTAATCCTAAGGTTCTGGGTTCGATCCCTGGTGGAGGCAGAGACAAATGGGCAGAGTTTCTTTCACCCTGATGCCTCTGTTCACTTAGCAGTAAATAGGTACCTGGGAGTTAGACAGCTGCTACAGGCTGCTTCCTGGGGGTAACAAAAAGGAGGCCTGGTCAAGGACCAGGCCACGGGGACGCTAAGCCCCGAAATCAACTCAAGATAGCCTGACCAACGTGGAATATGCAACGGTTGTATGGTGCCCATATCACATCAACATCACACAAGCACAAGCACATCACACATCACGTCACACATCAACAGACTGGAAAAGGTGCAAAGACATGCTACTAAGTGGCTCCCAGAACTGAAGGACAAGAGCTACGTGGGAGAGGTTAGAGACATTAAATATGCCAAAACTAGAAGATAGAAGGAAAGAGGCGATATGATCACTACATGCAAAATAGTATCCGGAATCAATAAAATTGAAAAGGAAGACTCCCTGAGACCTGGAACTTCAAGAATAAGAGGTCATAGATTTAAACTAACTGAACAAAGATGTCAAAGAAATATAAGAACAATCACTTGCACAAACAGAGTGGTAGACGGTTGGAACAAGTTAGGTGAAAAGGTGGTGGAGGCCAAAATCATCAGTAACCTCAAAGCGTTACATGACAGAGTGCTGGGTAGATGGGTAGATAGGACACCACGAGCGTAGCTCTCATTCTGTAACTACACTTAGGTAATTACACCCATCCACCACCCACACCCTCCTACTCACAATCCTCATACATACCCACCCACCCATCATTGACACATGCACGCTATTAGAAAAGATAGGAGCCCTAGACGATTGTCGTGCCCTTGAAATTAACCTAGTGATAAAACAGAGGCAAACAGAGTGGTAGACATCGCCTTCTCATTTAATTTGCAAATTAAGTGAGGAGGCGATGGATGCCAAAACTGTCGGTAGTTTCAAAGTCATATGACACAGAACTTGGAAAACGGCACACCACGAGCATAACTCTTATCCTGTAACTACACTTGGGCAATTCCACACCACTACCCAGTCATGCACTCTTGGGTGGCTGTGTGCATGGGCAGCCCATCGTCCTAAGGTTTCCCAACATCAAGAAACTGTCGTACTAAAGTCCCCTCTTCTAACCTACCAGAGGACCCAAAACAGAAAACGGGACAATGTCAATTTTGTGAGCGGCTACCATTTTCTAGTACAAAAATTTTTGGCCTTGGGTAGAGAATACGTCAAAATGGAACATTTTATTAGGAGGACGGGTTGGCATGGGAATAAAGACATACATAAAAGCAAAATTCTATGCAAACTACTAAAGTAAATGTATGTACAGTATTTGTTAAGGAAATGATATATATATATATTATGGTGCACTCAGCTTTTCATTATACATTATAAAAAGTGGTCTTCAGTTAATACATTTTCATCGCTAAAATCAGAATCGACCAAATCATTGGTTCTTACACATCACAGTAAGGTTAAATGGATCTTTTTTTTTTTTCAGACTTTAAAATTTCATTATTACATATTATCAAAGATGGTTATTTTGTTCATGATTTGTGTATTTTAAGGTACAGTATATAAGAATAGTAATAATAATCCATCAGTAAATTATGCCTAGAGAATTTCATGGTAATGTAGTTAATTGGCTGTACTTGTGTCTTAACGAGATAGTGTACTGGGCAGAGGGAAGCTTGAGTATTAGTTTTGAGATTCATTATTTCCCCTTTGTTCCACGGATGTGAAGACTCTATTATGGTGTCACCTGCTATTGGGCTTCACTGTCACTGCACTTCTTCAACTTTAATAATGTATTATAGACACCCTGAATGTTGTAAAAATGTGCAGCGGTAAATAATAATTTACTTGGGGGGTGGGTGAGTTGATAAGTTTGAAGCATTTATGGCTTAATGAGTGCATTATTTATTACCTGAATTGATGAGAATATTATAATTAGTTAGTATGATAAGCCTTAAGACTTGCAATATGGATTTACCTCATACATGAACTGCACAGACAGCTGACATTTGAATACATAATGGAAATCTACATGTCTACATATGCTAGGAAATGTAGCCAGCATTTTTTTTGTTTTGTTTTACAATATGTGTAATTACTATATTACACTTTTTATTGAATTTACAAATTTAGATCTTCGTATTATATGGTCATTTGACGGCATTCCATGCGAGATGAATTTCTTCTAACATCAAAATGTTGGCTTTAACCCTTTGGCTGCTCAAGCGATTTTAGCATGCAACGCTCGGGTCCTCATAAAATAAATTGCTCTCGAAAAATTATTTGTTCTTTCGACATTGTTAATTAGTGTCCAGAAAGGAAAAAAGTCTGAATGAAAAAGTATCTCCTATGGTTTAGCCAAAGTGGCATGGAGAAGATACATTTTTGTTAATAGAAATGAGGTGAGGTACCACATGGGAATAACTGCTACTAACTGTTTCTCAAAATGGGGGTGTGTTACTGGAGGACTGAGGAAGCAACTGTGATTCCCGTGTATGTGTGGCTATCAATGTATGTATGTATGTATGTATGCATGCGTAAGACTTAAATTTTAGGTAGTTTGCTACTGCATCATATAATGTGATGCACAGCCGAAGGGTTAATACTTTCAGGCCTCACACATGTAATGTCAGTCCGTGACTTCTTCGCCAAAGATTTTTTATTTTTTCAGTGTAACCTTCAAATAATTATAGGCCAATCACCACCACTTTCACTAATAAATAAATAATATATATATATATATATATATATATATATATATATATATATATATATATATATACAAAAACTGTGATTGTGTTCGCAAATTATTTAAATACAAGTGATGATATTAGGATTTTTAACTAGGCTACAGAACTGGTAAAATTAAATTAATCTAATTTGGTTAAAATAAAAACAAGATTCAGGTTTTAGTGGTTTTGAGTAGCCATGAAGTATGCAGTAATGTATTTCCATGAATGTACTTGGAGTAATATATATCATTATGTTCTTGTATTTTATTTGTTCATATCTTCAAAAATATTGATTTAATTGCATTTCTAATAAAAAGATGGTTTAACGGAAAAAAAAACATATTTGGGAATGGTAAAGCCATTGTGCGTAATATATTTTCAAAATGTTCTTGTAGCCGAGTCAGAACACACTGCTCCTGATGCCTGAAACAACCAGCATGGCTTGGACTCTGCTATTGGTTGAGATCAAGAACTCAAATAACCAGGAGCAATGTTTTAAAAGGTAAAATAAATTGTGTTATATTCTGTTAAGAGGTAAAGGAAAGAAAGAAAGGTTGGTGTTGGGAGATGAAAGAAATTTAGTGAGGTATAAAATAAGTCAAGGAAAAGCAATGTCCCAAGTCTTTATCCATCTTCATCCTTGTAATGGCTCATGGTCATTAGAAGGATAAAGATGGCTAGTCAGTTTATGAACAGTTCACAGTGCTACAAAAAGTTCCAGGGAAACAGTCAAAATAGCTGTCTGTCACTGAAGAGTTGGGTGGAATTGTATGTGTGTCAGTGTAAGTAAAGCCAAAGCTATGGTCAGAATGTGGCATCACCTAGTGATTCTGGTTTGGTGATGACTTAAACATCATTCAACATTAATATGATCAATGAAATGTTCAGATTTCTTAAAAATAGTACTGTAATACTTTTTTTTTTTTTTTAGATATGTAAATTCAGTCTGGCATGGATTAGACTAAGCACTTAATGGGCGAAGTGTCATGCCAGCGCGCCTCTAATCTTGATTTCGGATCTCTACCTCATTCACTGAAGCATTCCTGATAGCATTTAAAATCTGACGAGTTTCCTGATTTTTTAATCGTGAATGTTTTCTTAATCTAACCATTACAGTACTGTACCTGTACATTGTCTCATCAAAGTTGCCATCATTCTGAAAATATAAATCCTCTGCTCATTGTACATTAGTTATGTTGGTCATGGATAGGCTCATAAAGTTTGCAGGTAGCATTGCTCTTTTTTTATTTTTTTTTTCCATACACACTTGCCGTGAAACATGCAGGGACTTTGTTTCCCACCATGCACAAAAATTTCTTCCAAATGTTAACCTGCAAATGATTTAGCATGGATTTATTGAACAAAGGGTTGAATCTCTCTTCATACCTTATATAACTGTGGAACTCTCAACTGTTGCAAAACAGTTGTTAAGAGATTTCAGATAATATGGTGAAACCAGTTGTCATTATTTCAGTCCTTATATTTTTATTTCACAAAATTCAAAGTAGTACTGAATATTTTGCTGGCCGGCCTGAGAATAAGCCATTCTGAACCAATTGAATTATCTGGTAGCTGTGCTTGCAATTTTGCCAACTCTCTTTTTAATGCATCTTGCTGACTTTCCTGTAAACTGAATCATCACAAAAGTCAGTCATGGTGGCATGACTGGCAGCCAGTTAGTGAACATTTAAAATCTGGGAAGCACATAAATTGTTCTCGGATCTTAATCATTAAAGCTCTTCATTGGAGTGATGCATCTCATTTGGCCATTGATGTACAGTGTGATTGTGTTTCAAGTTTTGAGCATTCAACGAGAAAGGTAAACATCCACTGTGGTAATGCCCAGGTGCTAATTTACAACACACTGATTGTGGGGAAACTCAAACAAAACACAGTATAAGTTTTGTCAACATTTGAGTGTGTATATTATGTAAAAGTATCATGATAACCAAACCACAACTCAGAAAATGGAGAAGCGATGACGTTTCAGTCCACCCTGGACCATTATCAAGTCGTGTGATAGAAGAGAGGAAGGCACTGTACAAGCAAATATAAGGTAAGAGAGATGTGGTTTGGTCGTGATGACCAACGCCATCTTCTGAGTTGTAGTTTGGTCATCATTTCTTCAACCACGTTCAGGCGATGAGTCACAATAACGTGGCTAAAGTAAGTTGACCAGACCACACACTAGAAGGTGAAGGGACGACGACATATCGGACCATTCTCAAGTCGATTGCCTTAATCGACTTGAGAATTGTCTTCACTTGACTCAAGTCAAGTGAAGTCGATAACTTCAACCACGTTATTGTGACTCACCGTCTGGTAAAAGTATCATGTTAAATTATTTGAATTACCTGATTACTTTGCATTTTCCAGGGAACAATAATGAGGGGGTAGGATAAAGTGTAGGGACATTTTATAGGGTACCTTTGTTTGAGTGTACAAGTATACAGACATGTTAGTGCAGCACCCTCAACTACTTCCACTGTTGTCCTCCATAACTTTTATGATCTTGTTGTCCATAATGTCATTAAATGTGTGGTCCTGTATTTTCTTTATTCTGTTATGTACCATTTATTTATATAGTGTATGTGTGTGTGTATATATATATATATTAGTATATTTTGGTAGCAGTCTTTCCTGTAGACATATTTTATTAAATATGACCGAAAAAGTAAGATTAATAATTCTAACACGAATTTTCTCAATCTTTCGTACATTATGCTTCACTGTTGGAGGTAAATCAAAAATCACTTCTCCAAAATTCATTTTTATTTCTAGTCTGACGCGACACGGGCGCATTTCGTAAAACTTATTACATTTTCAAAGACTTCACAAATACACAACTGATTAGAACTTGCGTTTCCCTGATTTTATATCTACATTTGAGTGAGGTGGGAAGGGTGATGTGGCATTACATTTGAGTAAGGTAATTACATTTGAGTTGAGTAATTACTCAAATGTAATGCCACATCACCCTTCCCACCTCACTCAAATGTAGATATAAAATCAGGGAAACGCAAGTTCTAATCAGTTGTGTATTTGTGAAGTCTTTGAAAATGTAATAAGTTTTACGAAACGCGCCCGTGTCGCGTCAGACTAGAAATAAAAATGAATTTTGGAGAAGTGATTTTTGATTTACCTCCAACAGTGAAGCATAATGTACGAAAGATTGAGAAAATTCGTGTTAGAATTATTAATCTTACTTTTTCGGTCATATTTAATAAAATATATATATATATATATATATACACAATAAATAAAATACACACACACACTTTGCAGGGCCGGACCAAAGAGCCAGAGCTCAACCCCCGCAAGCACAACTAGGCGAGTACATATACATATATACAAACACAAACACAGACAGCGTACTGTGTATTGTTTCTCATGGTGTCAGCATTGACAGAAGATAATGGCTTCACTCACGGTTGCCAATTTGCTATGTCCTGTTATTCAGTAAAGATTTCAAATTCAAACACCACTGTTAGAGTTCTTAATGCATGAATGTAAATAATATGTCTGGAGAAAACTGTGCAGGAGGCTACACTAGGTAGTTAAGTTTTCATAGAAGATGGATTATCTAGGGCTACCCTTGAGGTTACCTTGAGGTGCTTCCGGGGCTTAGCGTCCCCGCGGCCCGGTCGTCGACCAGGCCTCCTGGTTGCCGGACTGATCAACCAGGCTGTTGGACGCGGCTGCTCGCAGCCTGACGTACGAGTCACAGCCTGGTTGATCAGGTATCCTTTGGAGGTGCTTATTGGCTACTGGAGATTAATACAAAAGTGTTCATGTGAGGGCAGTTTTTATCATTCTTTATCACCATTTCGAAGTAATGGAATTGTGTAACTTTTAATGGCACTGTGTAAAGTGTTAAGGGAAGTTATCTTCCTACTACTGTACCTTGAAACTATCGGCAGGTTGTACTTCAAGAAGACCAAGGTTCAAAACGAATTAGTTTTGTTTCGTAGTTAATCGATTTGTGTAATTTTTCACAAGTTTAAAACACTCTTGAGGATGACTAGGCACTATCCACACACACACTCAATTACATGAATGTTTAGGAATTTTGATTGCTGTATTATTTTGTTAAGTAACAATTTTCAGATGATTTTCTCACCTCTTGGTTAAATATTGTCACACGACATGTAATTCATTAATCAATGATAACAGTAGGCATTTAAAGCACAATGAACAAAGTACATTCTATTAAAAACAATAGTGTTATAAACACACATCCCTTGTGTGTATAATATATATATATATATATATATATATATATATATATATATATATATATATATATATATATATATATATATATATATATATATAAAATAGTGTGTTATTTTATGAAACGCATGATAATTAACAAAATGGCTATGATTTTTTCCCATTTAATTTCTCTTTCAAAATGTTTATTAATTAACAATTTAATACACTAAAAATATGTACAGTATATACAATTGGAAAATGTGACCACCCAGATTATATCTGGTATGCCTGCGTTTTGTACAGTTGCTAGAGATTTATTGCAAATTGCGGAAGTTTTCTATTTGTTAGGGTGCTTCTTTCCATTTACGTTTTCAACCTCAGATTTGCCATGAAGGAATATATACACCATGTACATAGCTGTTTATCACAATTTTGGAATAAACAAAATTGTGAAGAAAAAAAATCCTTTGCATTCATTCTGGCTGTATGTGTTTATGCATAAGCTGATGGCTTGTGTGTACAAATGTTGATGTTGCGCGCGCACACACACTAATGTTAATAATGCGTGTACGTCATTGCTCACGTTCATGCTAATATGACACTCGCATCAATACTGGAGTGTTCACATTTCATGCTATCATTGTATATTGACATCCATGCTGGCAGTGTGCGCGCTCCCGTCCATGCTGACAGTGTATCTGTTCATAACCATGCAGACTGTGAAAATGTTCCCTCCCATGCAGACGGTGAATGTTCCCACCCATGCTGACTGTGAAAATGTTCCCACCCATGCTGACTGTGAACATGTTCCCATCCATACCGACCGTGAACATTTTCCCACCCATACCGACCGTGAACATTTTCCCACCCATACCGACCGTGAACATTTTCCCACCCATATTGGCAGTGAACATTTTCCCACCCATATTGGCAGTGAACATTTTCCCACCCATACCGACCGTGAACATTTTCCCACCCATACTGACCGTGAACATTTTCCCACCCATATTGGCAGTGAACATTTTCCCACCCATACTGACCGTGAACATTTTCCCACCCATATTGACCGTGAACATTTTCCCACCCATATTGGCAGTGAACATTTTCCCACCCATATTGGCAGTGAACATTTTCCCACCCATACTGACCGTGAACATTTTCCCACCCATATTGACCGTGAACATTTTCCCACCCATATTGGCAGTGAACATTTTCCCACCCATATTGACCGTGAACATTTTCCCACCCATATTGGCAGTGAACATTTTCCCACCCATACTGACCGTGAACATTCCCACCCATACTGACCATGAACATTTTCCCACCCATATTGGCAGTGAACATTTTCCCACCCATACTGACCGTGAACATTTTCCCACCCATACTGACCGTGAACATTTTCCCACCCATACTGACCGTGAACATTTTCCCATCCATATTGGCAGTGAACATTTTCCCACCCATACTTACTGTGAACATGTTCACTCCCATACTTACTGTGAACATGTTCACTCCCATCTCCCATATGGACAGCGAGGTTGTACATTTCAAGTTTAGCACTAGAAAGAATTTAACGTGGAATATTTTGCAGATAAATTAACTTTTCTTGGCTGGTAAATTTTTAATTATATTGCTTCTCTCTTTTTCAGAAGCAGTTGAATGATGCGCTAGTGTTATACTTTATATATTAGCCTTCATACTTGCACTCTTCTCAAATTTGTAAGAAGGAAGTATTTCAATGCCGGGGTGTGCACGATCCAGTGTCGAGATTCACTTCCTTGTAAAATTTAAGCAAGTTTTAATTTTTTATAAATATATATATAATTAGCCCTTTTTTTAGTACTGTACTGATAATTCTTATGTTTCCAACTAGTACTTTGAGCAATGAATGCCTTTAATGTTTGTAAACGAATAAGGAAATTCATTTTCCTGTAGAGGCACAGTTAGCATTTTTGTTTTAATTTTTTAATAAATGCACCATATATATATATATATATATATATATATATATATATATATATATATATAAATTACCGGTATGTGTGTGTTGAACTGTTAACAAATATACATTTGCTAGGTAGCACATTACAAACTGTGATTGCAATGGGGACTAAAATGCAGAAACTTGTATCATGTTTGCAAACACTATTTTCTCAGCGATTGTAAGGAATAAAACAAAAATAGTCTCCATATTGTGTTTTATTCAACATTGAAGTCTGATACTGGAATTAAATAAGTAAATTTGAACTATGCAAAATATATTTGTAAATGCTTCATGGTGTAACTTCAAGAGTTATGGAATTTGTGGAAAAGCAGACTTTTGTGAACAAGTAGTAATCTCACCGTGTGCAGATTTCCATTTCCTCATCTTGTTTAAAGTGTGGCTAGGTGGGACTTGCTACAGTGCCCATGACTAAACAGGGATGTGTGTGTCTGAATTGAGTTCGTCCTTCATTATGTCCAGGTCCTCTTATGCTTTCTATTTGCAATGTAAGGGTTTAGCTTCTTCCTGGCTTGCAGATACTTTTTTTCTCTCTGGGCAGGTAGCTGCTGCATTGGATACTGTCTGTGTTGGCTCGGGAACAGAGACGGGATCCAATGACCCTGTCTTAGGAACACAAGCAGCCAACTGTGGCTTGTGTTTATTAGTCAGGCATAAATCATTAGTCAGGCAGAGTGCCAGAGTCATGGAAGGTTGCTAACGTGGTACCAATATTCAAGAAAGGAGATTGATCACTTGCATCAAACTATCGGTCAATCAACTCTATTGTGGGGAAAGTTGTTTGAATCGATAACTGCAAATTCCATTCATCTTCATCTTGAAAAACATAGATTAATAAATGATTCACATGGTTTTATTAATGGCTGTTCATGTTCAACAAATTTGCTGTCATTTTATTCCAGCATAGTTAAGGCAGTTGATAGTGATAAGGTTTGTGATGTGTACCTTGACTTTAGCAAAGCTTTTGATACAGTGCCACATGAAAGATTGATTGAAAAGATAGTGCCTCACGTTATTGGTGGTACTATATTATGTTGGATTAGGGCATGGCTATACCAAAGGAAACAAATAGTATAAATGGGGTTAAGTCAGAGTAGGAAAATGTTGTAAGTCGAGTGCCTCAGGGCTCTGTCCTGGGACCTCTGTTATTCATAATATATATAAATGATTTAGATTCAGGTTTGAGCAGCAATACAATATTTGCAAATTTGCGGTGATACAAAAATCGGGAGCTAAATAAACACGGAAAAAGGCTCGCTATCATTTAAAGACGATCTAAATAGGGTTTTGAAATGGCCAGAAAATTGGCAGATGCAGTTTAATGCTGACAAATGTAAGGTTCTGAAGCTAGGTAATTAACACAAAACAACATGAAACAATGGGTATAAATTGGGTAAGTTTAGATTTAGGAAAGACCTGGGTAAATATTGGTTTGGTAACAGGGTTCTTGATTTGTGGAACCAATTACCGCATAATATAAGTAGGATCCCTTGATTGTTTCAAGTGTAGGTTAGACATGTATATAGATGAGATTGGATGGATATAAATAGGGGCTGTCTTATATGGGTCAACAAAGCACCGCTCCTGTGCCAGGTAAGTCCACTACGGGCTCGCCATAGCCCGTGCTACTTGCCCCAGCTCCTGTGCCAGGTAAGTTACGGGCTCACCATAGCCCGTGCTACTTGGAACTTGTTCAAAGTAGCTGAATCTATAACAACAATAACATATGGGCCAATAGCCCTTCTGCAGTAACCTTCATTTTTATGTTCTTAAGCTGCTCATGTTGATACATTTAATAGCCTATTAATGAAGACTAAACAACACACCAGAAAATGAGATGACAAAGTTTCGGTCCTACCTGGACCATTGTAGAGTCGATTGTTCCCTATTAATATCCCTATGTTATGCCATTTATCCACTTGTTTCATCCATTTGTTCTATACCACCTCACCCAAAGAGAATATAAGCCTGTTCAGAAGAATGGCAGACCCCCACGCAGGGTGCAGTCGCACCTCCCCAGATCTCCAGTATCAGCTCTTGATACTGGTAATGGCTCAAAAGGGCCACTACTCACGGGCTATTCATGCCCGTCCCACCTTTTGGGTGGCTTAATCTTCATCAATCATCATGGCACACTCGGGAGACATCTCCCGTCACTCACGCAGGGTGCAGTCGCACCTCCACAGATCTCCAGTATCAGCTCTTGATACTGGTAATGACTCAAAAGGGCCACCACTTACGGGCTATTCATGCCCGTACCACTTTTTGGGTGGCTTAATCTTCATCAATCATCAATCAATAGCAGGCGGACGGGCTCACCATAGCCCGTGCTACTTTGAACTTAAGGGGGGTAGAAATAGCCTAAGCTACTCTATCCCTTTGAGATGTATTTCTTTCTTATCTTATCTCAACAAACATACCTGAACTTGAATTTGGAACTTATTCCGAGTAGCTGAATCTATAACAACGAATGGCAGGCAATATATATATATATATATATATATATATATATATATATATATATATATATATATATATATATATATATATATATATATATATATATATATATATATATATATATATATATATATATATATATATATATATATATATATGTCGTACCTAGTAGCCAGAACTCACTTTTTGGCCTACTATTCAAGGCCCGATTTGCCTAATAAGCCAAGTTTTCCTGAATTAATATATTTTTTCAAATTTTTTTCTTATAAATGATAAAGCTACCCATTTCATTATGTATGAGGTAAATTTTTTTATTGGAGTTAAAATTAACGTAGATATATGACCGAACCTAACCAACCCTACCTAACCTAACCTAACCTATCTTTATAGGTTAGGTTTGGTTAGGTAGCCGAAAAAGTTAGGTTAGGTTAGGTAGGTTAGGTAGTCGAAAAACAATTAATTCATGAAAACTTGGCTTACTAGGCAAATTTGGCCTTGCATAGTAGGCTGAGAAGTGATTCTGGCTACTAGGTACGACATATATATATATATATATATATATATATATATATATATATATATATATATATATATATATATATATATATATATATATATATATATATATATATATATATATATATATATATATATATATATATATATATATATATATGTCGTACCTAGTAGCCAGAACTCACTTCTCAGCCTACTATGCAAGGCCCGATTTGCCTAGTAAGCCAAGTTTTCATGAATTAATTGTTTTTCGACTACCTAACCTACCTAACCTAACCTAACCTAACTTTTTCGGCTACCTAACCTAACCTAACCTATAGAGATAGGTTAGGTTAGGTTAGGTAGGGTTGGTTAGGTTCGGTCATATATCTACGTTAATTTTAACTCCAATAAAAAAAAATTGACCTCATACATAATGAAATGGGTAGCTTATCATTTCATAAGAAAAAAAGTCGAGAAAAATATATTAATTCAGTAAAACTTGGCTTATTAGGCAAATCGGGCCTTGCATAGTAGGCTGAGAAGTGAGTTCTGGCTACTAGGTACGATATATATATATATATATATATATATATATATGTCGTACCTAGTAGCCAGAACGCACTTCTCAGCCTACTATTCAAGGCCCGATTTGCCTAATAAGCCAAGTTTTCATGAATTAATATATTTTTTTCAATTTTTTTCTTATGAAATGATAAAGCTACCCTTTTTCTATGTATGAGGTCAATTTTTTTATTTGAGTTAAAATTAACGTAGATATATGACCGAACCTAGCCAACCCTACCTAACCTAACCTAACCTTACCTATAAATTAGGTTAGGTTAGGTTAGGTAGGTTGGTTAGGTTAGGTAGTTAATTTTAACTCAAAAAAAAAAATTGACCTAGGTAGGTTAGGTTAGGTTAGGTTAGGTAGAAAAAAATTATAGTAAATATATTAATTCAGGAAAACTTGGCTTATTAGGCAAATCGGGCCTTGAATAGTAGGCTGAGAAGTGAGTTCTGGCTACTAGGTACGACATATATATATATATATATATATATATATATATATATATATATATGTCGTACCTAGTAGCCAGAACTCACTTCTCAGCCTACTATGCAAGGCCCGATTTGCCTAATAAGCCAAGTTTTCCTGAATTAATATATTTTCTCTAATTTTTTTCTTATGAAATGATAAAGCTACCCTTTTCATTATGTATGAGGTCAATTTTTTTTTATTGGATTTAAAATTAACGTAGATATATGATCGAACCTAACCAACCCTACCTAACCTAACCTAACCTATCTTTATAGGTAATGTTAGGTTAGGTAGCCAAAAAAAGCTAGGTTAGGTTAGGTTAGGTAGGTTAGGTAGACGAAAAAACATTAATTCATGAAAACTTGGCTTATTAGGCAAATCGGGCCTTGCATAGTAGGCTGAGAAGTGAGTTCTGGCTACTAGGTACGATATATATATATATATATATATATATATATATATATATATATATATATATATATATATATATATATATATATAATATAATATGAGTGTCAGACCACGGAGGAAGAATTGAAACAGGAAATTCCATAAGTACTCTCGTATATTAATACATCTTCAGAAGGATTCCTTCTGAAGATGTATTAATTATTAATTTAAATAAATAAGATACATTAATTCATTAGATGTATTAATGTATCTTCCTCCGTGGTCTGACATTGTCACATTTTTCACGTGTTGATTTTCGTGATTTACACACACACGCATTATATATATGTATGTATGTATGTACGTTTGTCAGCTGTTTGGTGGTGCAAGGCTGTCAACCTCTACTGCTACACTACCTGGTAGATCAGCATTAAGTATTTTGTTCTCTCCTAATTCCATGTATGACTGGCCATCCTGTGAGGTGAGCTTGTAGCTGGTTTTTGATCTACACTGTGTGGTCCTTTAGACAGAATAGGGAAGCAGCACATTGCTGTGTATACCTAAACATGTTTAAAAATACATTGTTTGAGAGGAGTTTTGTAGAAACTGGTAAGAGTAATTATAATATAATGTTTCCATGATTCAGTGCTTACCTCTTGTGAAAATGCTTAGAGTTGTTTAGTCAGAGTTGATTTGTTTTTTGTATTGAGGCTGGTATTTTCTAAATTGATTCCATGTACAGTATGTCTAACCATCCTGTGAGATGGGAGTATTAGATAAACTTATAGCTAGTTTTTTATC